TCGTGACCTCTCTTGCTCTTTCCAGATCATTGGCCGTGGCAATGACCAGGTGGCCATCAGCTCCAAGTTTGAGACCCGGGAAGATATCGGTATGGCACCCACAGGGGATGGTTTGTATGGGTCCCAGGAGGGGAGGTGGAGCAGTCAGCGTGGGCTGGGTCATGATGCAGTAACAAATACCCCCACATCGAAGTGGCTTCAGGCAGAGGTACTTCTCGCCCACAGTCTGTGCCATCGTGGGTTGGTGGGGGCCTGCCCCATGTCTCGTGCTGGGAGCTTCCACCATTGGACACATGACTGTGGTGCTGAGCTGTGACAGGAGGGATCGTGGTGAATTGTGAACTGCCTCATAAAGGTTCTCACCTGGAAGTGACGTGTGGCCCTTTCTGATTCGACCGTGGCAAGTCACATGGCCACGCCTATCTTCAGGGGTTTGGGGGTGCCGTCCTCCCAAGGAAAAGCAGAATGTGTTTGAACAGTCCTACAGAGGCCTCAGTGGGGTTTTTAGGAACCCAAATTCAAGACAAGCCATTAGACAGGAACGCTCTGATAGGGAGTGGGGAGGTGGAACCAGGCCAGGAGAGAGTCCAACCTCTGACCCCTCACAGCGGTGATCCGGAACTATGGAAACCTCCTGCTGGAGATGTCCGCTGTGGTGCCTGATGGCATCGTGGCCTTCTTTACCAGCTACCAGTACATGGAGAGCACCGTGGCCTCCTGGTACGAGCAGGTACGCCCAGCTACTCACTCCACAGAAGGCCCCTGTCTCAGCTCTTGGCTCTGTTCCCCTGTGTGTTGGCTTCATTCCTCTTGTGTTTTAAATGGTGACATGTATCATAGGTGATAGGACAGCGTATAAAACACAGATGGACAGTTTAAAGAATAAATAGCGTTCACTCTTCTCCCAACATCCAGGTTAAGAACTAAGACATGAGCAGCCTCGCTGGGCCCCTTCCTCAGAGGTGTGGCCCTCAGGAGCGGTGACCACATCCTACCTTATGGGTTTTTGGGATTACTTCCTGACAGCCTCTCCAGCTTGGTGTCGAGACACTGGGTAGCAGGTGTGACTCTAGCTGGGTGCTGCGCCTCTAGAGGAAGGTTCTGGAGAATTAAGGCTGGATACAGGCTTGGGGCAAAGAACCTGCAGGAGCCCCTTCTGGGGAGCGCGTGGGTGAGGTCATGGGGAAATGGAGCTCACCACGGCTGGGCACTGGCAACCCAAAAGGATGCGGATGGGGAAGGGGCGCCCTGTCCTTTCTGATTCTGAATGCGCCACGGGCCCAGCTCTCGGGGAAGTTAGGGCGCTTCTTTGGGCTGAGACGAGTGAACTTGTCTAATGTTAGCACCAGGCAATGTGTGGGAACCTCATTCACGCACAACCAAGACCTTGGTCTTGTCGTCAGGCTCTTTCCACACAGTGGGAAAGGCGGCTGTCAGCCACCTGAGCGCCACATCCTGTATGCCTTTCGTGTCTTATTTAAGAAGCCTTTGCCGACCTCCAGGGTCCCGAAGATGGACTCCTGTGTTTCCTTCTAGAAGCTTTGTAGTTGTAGCTTTTACATCTAAGGGCTGTGAGGTACCTCAGATTTACCTTTGTGTATGATGTAAGGCAGGGGTCAAGATTCATTTTTTTCCCATATGGAAATCTAATTGCTCCAGCCCCACTTACTGAAAAGAGCTCCCGCACTGAGTGGCACAAGTGACCATCTGTGTGTGGGGGGTGTTTCTGGACCCTCTGTTTGGTCTCACTGGTCCATCTGTGTATCTGTCCTTTATTCGTACCACACATCTATTTCAGTGTCAAATATGAAATCTCCAGTCAGCCTCTGATTGGCTCTGCCTGGCCTCTCCCCCTCACCTGCATCCCGATGGGCCATCTTGAGCCTGTTCCACTCGTCCAAAGGATGAGGCTTGGTCCCCTCCCCGGGTCACGGGGTTTTCCAAAGAAGTGACAGTACCACCACCCTCCCCAAGTCTCCAGTGAGCTGAGGCCTGGGGAGAGAAGTGGTCTGTTGCACGGGAATCTGACAGGACCCCCTGTCCTTTAATCCTTCTGCCAGCCCACACCCTGACCTCCCTGGTGTCTTTCCCTAAGGGCATCCTCGAGAACATCCAAAGGAACAAGCTGCTCTTTATTGAGACCCAGGATGGGGCTGAGACCAGTGTTGCCCTGGAGAAGTACCAGGAGGTGGGTATTACCGGGGGAAGAGGAAAGCCCAGGGTGGAGAGGGGCCAGAGGAGGCAGCTCCGAGGTGACGCATCTCGTGTCCTGGCCTCCCCTCCCCAGGCCTGCGAGAACGGCCGTGGGGCCATCCTGCTCTCGGTGGCCCGAGGCAAAGTGTCTGAGGGAATTGACTTTGGTGAGTGGACTAGGCTCTCCCCTCCCCCGAGCGCCTGCGTGGATGTCTGGCCATTTCTGCTCCCCCAGGGGACCGGCGGCCCATAGCCTGGGCACGCACGGGGGCCTCCCCTTCCTTCCATCCCTGGGTGCTCTGCAGGGCCCTTGGTGCAGTCACTCAAACAGCATGAGCTCCCGGGCCCCGCGAGCTCAGCCCTCTCACTCCCCCTCCTGTGTCCCGCAGTGCACCACTACGGCCGGGCCGTCATCATGTTCGGGGTGCCCTACGTCTACACCCAGAGCCGCATTCTCAAGGTGAGCAGCGCCTGGGGGCGGTCGGACGTGAAGGCCTCTGTCGGGCCCTCTCCTTAGGACTTGGCGGGGGCAACGTCCCTTCCTCACACATCTCTGCACCTGCAGGCGCGGCTGGAATACCTTCGGGACCAGTTCCAGATTCGAGAGAACGACTTTCTGACCTTCGATGCCATGCGCCACGCGGCCCAGTGCGTGGGTCGGGCCATCAGGGGCAAGACTGACTACGGCCTCATGGTCTTTGCCGACAAGGTGCGCGTTCCGGGGCCCCTGCCAATCAGGCGGTTCCCCCAGTCGTTTCCCCCTGCCAGGGTCCTGACATCCTCCCTCTCCCACTCTCAGCGCTTTGCCCGGGCCGACAAGCGGGGCAAACTGCCCCGCTGGATCCAGGAGCACCTCACCGACGCCAACCTCAACCTGACCGTTGACGAGGGGGTCCAGGTCGCCAAGTACTTCCTGAGGCAGATGGCACAGCCATTCCACCGGGTGAGCCCGCGGCGCCTAAGCTCCTCTTTCAGGAAGGGCCCTTGGCTTTCTCCCCGAGCCCCAAGCCCAGCCTGCTCCCTGCCCCCGACAGAGAGGGGTTTGTGTGCACCGGCGCGCCAGGCCTGGGAACTGGAACTGCGGGGAGGGTCGAGGGCTACAGCCAGAGCGTGTGTCTCCAGTGGGAGCCCCGAGCTGGCCGTGGGCCTCTGGAAAGCCAGTGCTTCTCTAGCTTGGACACAGCTCTCTGGCTGCCGCCTCCCTCCCTCGGCCCATCTTCTGGTTACAGGGACGGGATGCCCTGGGTTACACAGGTGTTTTGAAATTCAAGCATCCTGTCCTGTAGCCCCCACCCCCACCCCCCGGGCGGGCCACCTGTCCCTACTGAGTTGTGGACCCCTGTGTTAGGAAGTGCAGCAGCTGACACCCCCCCCGCCCCCCACCAGGAGGATCAGCTGGGCCTGTCCCTGCTCAGCCTGGAGCAGCTGGAGTCGGAGGAGACGCTGCGGAGGATAGAGCAGATCGCTCAGCAGCTGTAGCGGGGCGGGGGCGGGGCCATAAAAGGAGTTGGCCGCGACTCGTGAGCCTTACCTGGCCCTGGGTCCCAGTAGCTTGGAGGGCGCCCCCGGGGGAGGCGCTTAAAGGTCCCTGCAGGACACCTCAGGCGGACGTTCTGGCTGCCAAGTCTACAGCCTTTAATCACAGGAGGAGAGGACAGCGGGGAAGCCCAAGACACTGGGTGCGAGTCAGGGAGATGAAAGCACTCCCCTCCCCTCCCTCTCCCGCTCCTCCTGAGAAGCCGCAGCCCGTGGTTCTGTCGCCTTCAGCGGGGGCCCAGGTCCTGGGTGCTGGCGCTGAGGGTCCGAGAGGCCTCGCCCAGGTGCCGGCTGGGGAACTGGGGACAGGCACAGGGGGTGGGTGAGGGGCCGGACACAGCTCTGCTGCAGCTGCCCCTAGGGTTACTCCCCAGCAGCCTGGCTGCCAGCTTGTCTATCCTGATGGCCACGTTGCTCGTCCTCCTGTCCCCATGTCCACCCTGACTCCAGTCCATCCACTCCCCCACCTCTACCCAAGTAAAAGTCCCTATCCTGGCGTTCACTCCACTGCCAGCCTGCCCACTTCCACCCTTCCCTCGCCTCTGGGCCTGTCAGTGTGGCCCCTCACTCCACCCTTGACCCGGGTGTCCCCCTCACCTGGTTCCCAGCAGCCCTGGAACCATCCATGTTCAGCATGTTGAGTGACATGGCCCTCTTCATCCTACAAAGGAAGGTTGGTGGGTGGGGCACAAGTGAGCCCAGGAGTGTCTGGCTCCCACCCTGGGAGGGACCACTCCAGCGCCAGGTTTGATTGTATGTGTGGCAGGGGAGATGGGAGCCATGGAAGGTTCTTGAGCAGGACAGGGAGAGGGGTGGGCTACAGATTCGGCCACCAACCTGACCCAACACTCACCCGGCTGCCCCCACCACCCCCTCGCCTCGGAGCCGGGAGACCAGCTTCTCACTTCCCCGCCGGATGGACTCTCGGAGCTTGGAGAACGAGCTGCTCCGACGAAAAGTCTGGGGAGGGCGCCAGGGACACGGGTCAGTCCTCCCCACTCCATCCAGTACCCACCTCCACCCTGGGAGCCGAGGCAGAGCCTGTCCTCACCTGCTGTTTTGCGTCACCAGCTGTGCCTGTGTTGGGGGCTCCTGGGGAACAGATGGGGCCATTGTGGTGGGGAGGCTGAGGAGCCCCCTGGGGGAGAGGGGAGGGGCTGGGGGCTCACCGAGAGGGGCAGGCAGGGCCTCCCTGCTGAGGATTTCTTTGTACAGTTCCTCCGCCTCCTGGTACTTGTTCTGTTTCAGGTAGGCTGAGGCCTGTGGGGAGGGCATAGCCTGGGTGATCTTGGCTCAAACCTGGGAGCTTCCCAGGCCCCAGCACTGCACCCAGGCACATCCTTCCAGCCCCCGCAGGAAGAAACCCAGGTTTACCCCACACTCCAGGCCTTGGCCGACAGCAGGGTGGGCTTGGAGCCCAACCCCACCTACTTCCCATAGGGTAGGTGACTTCCTGACTCAGAGCAGGAACCTGTTCCCCACTCTGCCTTGAGCCAGTGACACACCTCTCTGTGCCTCAGTTTCCTCACCTGCAAAATGGGGCAACGGGAGCACCTACCTCATAGGGCTCTTGAAGAAACGGATAGTACAGGCAAAGTCCTAAGAAGGGGTTTAGCTCAATAAATGCTCTCATCTGCTCCCAGCCCGTCTCTGGCTTCCTCTTTGACTGGAGCTGTTCTCTGGCTGCCACCAACTTGCCTGTTTCCTGATGCTTCCGTGTCCTCTGTGCTGAGCAACCTCACCAGTCAGGGCCCAGCTTGGAAGCCGAGTCTCACGGGACAGCTCGAGGGCTGGGCAGAGGTGGGGCCCCTGGCCTCGGTGGTATCCCACCCTCCAGCCGATGGGTGCTCCCCAGTGCCGCGGCCCCAGGACTAAGACACCCACGCCCCAAGGCGCCCTCACCAGGTTGTTCTTGGTCTTGGCCACGTTGGGGTCGTGAGGCCCGCCTAGGGCCTTGTAGATGCTCAGGGCCCGGCCATAGTGCCGCTCCACCTCCTCGAACTTGCCCTGGTTCTGACACAGCAGGGCCAGGTTGTTGAGCTGCTTGGCCACGTCCGGGTGGTTGGCGCCCAGGACCTAGGAGTCATGGGATCACAAGTCATTGGGGTCCGCCGGGGTTGGCGAGCCACATGATGCCAACAGCCGTAATGAGAGTCATGGGTTGGTGGTTATAGGATTGAAGTGGATGAAGAACTACAGGAGGTTGGGGACAGAGAGCAGGAACTGCCTGGTCAGACTGGGGAGTAGTTGGGTCAGAGGTCATGGTGGTGCAAAACCTCATGATTATGGGTCAAATAGGTAGATCAAGGCTGGGGTTGTACTGGTCACGTGGGGTTGGAAGGTCGGGACCGGGTGGGGGCATGAGGTGACCTATGAGAGTCAGAAGTCAAGACCAAACAGAAGTCATTGGTATGTCAAGGGTGGTGGGTCAGGGGATTGGGTGCTCTAGGTTCAAATTGGAGGCTCATGATGTCAAATAGGAGGGGCACAGAAGGTCAGAGGTCACAGGAGCAAGTCAGGGTCATGCAAGGGCCACAGAATTAAGCGCTGAAATCAGGATCAAGGGGTGAGAGCCACTCAGGACAGGGGCTCCGTGGGAGCCGGGTGGGGGCAGGACCTTCTCACGGATCTCCAGGGCGCGCTGGCACAGGGGCTCCGCCTCCTGGTAACGCCCACGCTTCCCGTAGAGGACAGCCAGGTTGTTGAGGGTGGCGGCCACCTGCAGGGCGCGAGAGGCGGGTCAGGGGTGGGAAGGCACAGCCCACAGCCCTCCCTCCTGGGCCTGCGCTCACCGCGGGGTGCTCCCGGCCCAGTGTCTGCTCCCGGATCTGCAGGGCGTCGTGGAGAAGGTCTGTGGCCTCTTTGTACTTGTTCTGGTCCCTGTGGGGTGGCCCGAGGGTGGAGGGGGTTTGGCCAGGTTGGGGTAGCAGGGGCCACGGGCTGGGCTGAATCCCGCAGGCCCAGAGACCTGACGACCAAGCATGGGTGGCATCCTCTGGGGGTCCCTTCTGGGGGTCCCTACACTCCCAGTTGGCTGCGAAGCCTCTGCCACCCTAGGTCTCTTCCCCACTCCACTGTGGTCTCTCTTGCCCATGCTGACTCCTCTTTGCCTGGGTCTCAGTGAGTGGCCTCCCCAGAGCTCTGCCCCTTCTCTCCACCACCACCCCTGGTGCCCTGTGCTGGCAAAGCAGGACACCAGGGTCCCCCCGCTTCCTGCCCCCTCCAGCCGTGGCGGCTGCAGCCCTCACCGGTACACCAGCGCCAGGATGTTGAGCATGGTGGCCACGTCAGGGTGGCAGTGGCCCGAGCTCCGCTCCAGATCCTCTAAGGCCTGGCGGCACAGCGGTGCAGCCACCTCGTAGCGGCCCTGCCCCGTGTACTGGAGCACGAGGTTGTGCAGGGTCCGAAGGCGGGCCGGGATCTCGTAGCCACCCTGCTGAGCAGAGATGGCCCCCGCTGCCTCGGGACCTGGGGGTGCCGGGCACCCAGTCACTGCAGGCCTCCTACTCCAGCCCCACACAAGGGGACACATGCACCCCAAAGCTACAGCTGCCTCGCTGGCCCCTGGGACCACGGGCCCCTGTTCTGACGTCTGAGATTGGAATCACAGGCATCTTACTGGCCTGTGGGATGTGTCCTAGCCTGCAGGACAGAAACATGGGAGCCACCTGGCTCCTGGGGCCGTGGCAGGCCTGCTTTTGCAGCTTCCAGCATCACCTGCCCGCTGTCAGCCCCACAGCCCCCTGCTTCATCCTCCTGACACCCCGTCCTGACCTTCCCCATCCTCCCTCAGAGGCCTTGGGGGCCCAGCGAATCAGAGGTCCCCCCCAGCCTGGGCCATTCATCCTCCTGGCCGAGTTCCCCACACCCACCTTTCCTCTCCTCCTCCTCACTGGGGAACAGGGAAGCCAGGCTGTCCTGCTGATGGGGGGACTCGGGCTGCTGCAGAGAGGACAGGAAAGTGGGTGTCATGAGGCTTGGGAGTTTGAGTCAGAGACTGGGGTCCTGGATCCCAGGGTTTAAGGGTGGTGGTGGTCAGGGGTCTCCTGAGGGCTTGGGGAGGATCCTCGGGCTTTGTGGAGCAGATGGGGGCCTTCGGTGGAAGTTCTAGTGGGGCTCTGCAGAGGGTCAGGGGGTTCTTTGGAGGGTCTGGGGCACTAGGGGGCACCACGGAGGGATGGGGGCTGTGGGGTATCTAAGGAGTGCGGGGTCCCCAGCACATCATGGCCCCCGCCCCGCTGGGTCCCGCAGCACCTGGCTCTCCGCCGGCGGGTCATACTGCCGCAGCTGCCCCAGGAACTGCAGGTGGCTCTTCTCCTCCTCCAGCTGGGCCACAGCCTCCTCGCTGGCCCGCAGCCGCTGCTGCGTCTCCTCCAGCTCTTCCCGCAGCCATGCGTTCTCCTGGGCCAGCCGCCGGGCCTGCGCTCGCAGCCGCTGCTTCTCAGCCTCCAGCGCGCCCACGTGTGCCGACAGGGCCAGCAGCACCTGCCAGGGAGGCGGGGGTGGCGAGTCAGAGGCCTGGTCCCTCTCACCCCCGACCCAGCCCAGGGCCTCAGATCAAGCCAGAGCACCCCATTCTCTCCAGGGTGCCCCGAATTATACAGAGACTCCTCCGTTGTGGCTCCAGGGATGCTCAAAGGCTCTCAGGGCCATAGTCCAGTCCTGCCCCGGGACCCCTCTGATGTCACCCAGGCACACAAATTACACTCAGGATACTTCACATTCCACCCATGCAACCCCAAAGTCTCCCCAGGACCCACAGTTCCATGGAAGGACCCCACGTGGTTCAGGGGTCCCTGTCGCACACAAGGACCCCATCCCCAATGCAGCCCAGGGATCCCACCTCAGGACTGGAGCTTCCCCCTCCCGGGCCTGGCTCCCCCAGTCCCCGCTCTCCCCAGGCTGCCCCCTCCAGCACACCTGGCCCCCTCATCCCTGGGCAACCCCCAGGGCTGAGCCACATCCCCCATAGTTGAGTTGGCCCCCTCATACCTGGGCCTCACCCAGCCCCAGCTCGATGGCCTCCAGTGAGTGGCTCACCACCTCCTGCTTTTCTTCCAGCAGCTCCAGGCCAGCCACCGGGCCCTGTCCTGCCAGGGTCTCCGCCAGGTGCCCGGCCAGGCCCCGGTGCTCTGCCCGCAGGGCCTCCAGCCCCTGTACCACTTGTCGCGTCTGTTGCACCAGCTCCTCAGGGCTCAGGTGCTCTGGGCCCAGCCCCATGCTTCCCGGGGCCACCACCTTCACGGACATTGCTGCTTCTGGGGGTGACCGGGATCAGGGGGTCACTGCCAGGGCCAGGCAAGTCAGCCCCTCTGCCTCCGCGCCATTTACGCCACAGGTCCCCTCAACCCTCTCCCTGTCCGCCCATCCCGGCCAGCCCTCTGCCTCCGTGCTCTCCTCACTCCGGCCAGCACCCTGTCCCACACCCATCCTGGCCAGCGGGCAACTGGAAACCTAGTCTTCCCTGTCCTCGGCCCAGGGCCCCGCCCTGAGGGCAACTCCAAAACCTCACTATATATGATTAACCAAAGGAGGGCAAACAGCCATCTCGAGGGCTCCCACCCAGCCCACCCCAAGGACCCTGGGTACCCTGGCCCAGCACTCCCGGCTGGCTGTGTGACCTTGGGACCAGAGGTGCCCGCGCCCACTGGGCGTGTGGGGCAGGACGCGTGGAGGCGGCAGCCTCTCTGTGAGCTCATTCTTAGGGTGTTTTTGTTGGGAACCAGTCAGACCACTGGGGGTGGGGTGGGGCAGGAGGAGAGGGCCAAGGGGCTGGGGTGCTGGAAGCAGAGGCCTCTAGACTGGGGAGGTCAGGAAGGGGGGCCCCGTGTGGTGGCTCCCGGAGCCCGAGGACCTGACAGACCCAGAGGAAACAGACTCCACCCTCCACTGCAGACATGCTCAGCCAGCCCAAGGCGTGCTGGGTCAAACGTGTTGCAGGCGTGGCCCATGGATGTCACATTGGCCATGTGACAGCTGAGGGTCTGAGGCCCAGATGGTAATGGATGGGGGGGTTCACATGTGGGACTTCATGGGGTTGTATATGGGTGACAAGGTCAATGACACATCTGGTGACGATGCCTCTGGGGCCGTCACATACATACATACACACACACACACCCCTCTCAGAAATACAGCGTAATACACACTGTCCTCTCAGAAATGACACACACACACACTTTCTCTTAAAAATACAACTCAGCACACCCTCACGCACATCCACATTTTCCTTTCAAAATATTGATACAACCTAATGCAACACACTAAGGCACGCACACAAGTACATTCTTCTTTCAGAAATAACACATACACACTCTCCTCTGCGAAGTACAACTCAACACACAGGTATACTTTCCTTTCAGAAATAAAAGCCAGACATAGAAAACAAATTTACGGTTACCAAAGGGGAAAAGGGGAGGGATAAATTAGGGGTTTGGGATTAACATATACATATATAAAATCGATAACCGACAAGGACCTGCTGTGTATACAGGGAACTATACTCAATATACTATAATAACTTATAATGGAAAAGATTGTGAAATATATATATATATAATACAACGGAATCACTTTGCTGTATACCTGAAACTAACACAACATTGTAAACCAACTATACTTCAATAAAAATTTAAAGACAAAATAAAAGCCAACACACAAACTGTCTCCTCCCTCAGCCCCCCCTCACCTGCAAAAAGATAACCAAATCCCAAACCACTTCCATTGGGACGGCCTCCTTGAACTTTTATGCCCATGACACGTGCCCTCTCCTACACCCCCCCCAGTCCTGCCAGCACCTGGCGCTCCATCCTATGCCCAGCGCCTCCTCCATGCTCCCAGGATTCACGATGGACCCATCACCATCCTCCCCCTTTCCTTCCGTCCTCCCCACCTGGCCAGCCAGGGATTCGCACACAGACACACTATAGAGCTTCACACGCGGACGTGCGAATGACCCCTGCGGCCAGGCTCTTACACCGTCACAAGCGGGTGCCCATGGCACAGACAGCTGTAGAGACACAGGTAGTCCCATGCTTTCCGCACAGTCTCTCAGGCTTACTTCACTCAAGCCACTGTGTTCCCCTGAACAGCCCAGAACTTTTAGCACCTGTGCACATGCTCCCAATCACATCCACTCAGGCACAGAGTAAGGGCAGGTGTGTGATCCTGCGGATTTTATATACTGCAGCCTCTCCATCGCCATCCATCTCTCTCTCTCTATGTATATACGTGTCCGTACATATATCAATCTCTCTGTGTACGTAGTATATAAGTGTGTGTATGTATATCACACCATATGTAGTCTTACACCCCACACGCAAGTCAAACTCACAACCACACCCGTTCATTGAGTCATCCCGACCACCATGTCCATCATTCACGAAAGTTTGCGGACGTATACAACCTCCCATGACATCGCGCACAATCTCAGACAGCCGAGCCGAATGTTCCAGACGCAACCTCCGCACAGTAACAGAGCGACACGCACAGCCACACATCACTCGGGCTGTTTCCTCGACACACGCTGGCTCCCACACTCACGCCGGCCTCCAAAGAGCAAACTCCCCTTCACCAGCTGAGCCCCGTGCGCACAACCGCGCAGCTGACAACGATGTTCACAGTCACACTCCACGCATCCATCCTGAACCCGTAGTGCCCACCTCCTTGTCACCCCCCCAGTCTTACAGGCAGAGAGACAACCACGGCCACACAATTTCTTGGTGACACACCTAACCCTATAAACAGTTCAACTCCCTGCCAAGCACCCAAACACACACACACACAGCATTACAGACACACAATCAGAGGTCGCCCACATTTTCACATCACTGAAACAGTTTCACATCATTCAAGCAGTCCCTCTGTGCCCTCGCAGGCTTACACGGACAGGCCATCTCCTGTACCCACCTGTACCCACTTGTACCCACAGCCTGACACCATCACACACACCTGAGCTTCGTACACCATCTCTCATGCACACGCACGCACCATCTCCACACAAACATACACTCGCAGGCGGGAGACCCCCATCCTGGCCAGCCCCGCAAACCACACAACTTACCCCTGGCCGGCCCGTCCAGCCCCGCGCACCCCGGTTTCACCGCTCGCGTGCCCGCCCGCTGCCAGGCCGTCACAAGGGCCCCCTCCCGCCCCCAGGCCCCGCCCCGTCCTCGCTCCTGTTTACCTGAGCCCGGCGGAGGAGGCGCGGCCCCAGCCGGGCCTCCAGACCCCAGGGAGCCCCAGGGTGGGACAGGGGGCGTCCAGGGGCCCCAAGGCCCGTCCCCGTCTCCAGGCCAGAGGGCCCAGGGGTGCGCCAGGCCCAGCCCACACCCTCCGCCCTCGCCTCCATCCTCGCAGCTCCTGGGACTCCCACCCCGCATTCCCGGCGCCCACCTGACCGCAGACAGCTCCCGGTCCTGCTTCGCCGCGCTGCGCCCGCCCGCCGCGCACGCCTCGCCGCTTCCAGCTGCGCAGCGAGTCTCGGGCCGCGGGCGGGTCCTCCGGAGGGGGTGGGGCGGCCCGGAGCCCCGCCCCCACAGGTGAGACAGGCCCCGCCCACAGCCCGGGGAAAGTTAAGCGCTGCGGCCCCGGCCCTAAGCAACCGCAGAACTTCGCGTGCGCGTAGCCGGTAGCCTCTAGGGCACGTCGAATCTGAGATGATTCCAGTGCGCAGGAGGCCTGGAAACCAGAGTCTCAGCGAAACTAGAATCTTGGAAACTTTGGATCCCAGACGGATGGCCTTCTTGCAGTGCCAGCCGCCGGCTCTTTGCCTTGGCTGTGCGCCCTGCTTGGACATCTCTCCACACAGATCTCGACGTTTGTCTGGTCCCTTTTCAAAGGCCGCTTACTCCGAGAGGCCTCCCTTGCCTGTCTCTTCTAAATTACACCTTCCCAGCAAAACACAACCTCATTTCTCTCCTTGATTTTGTTCACAAAACTTTGCAGGACCTAAAATTATTTCGTGTAACATTATAATTACTATGTTGTCTTACATCACATTATTGGTGAGGCTAAAAATTGAGCTCTGAGTTCACATCCGATTTCAGTACTTACTAGCTGCGCAGGCCTTGGACAAGTAACCTCTCTGTCTCCGTTTCCCTAAACTGTAAAATGGGGTAGTCAAAGGCTGTGAGAATATTTTTTCTGGCTGTGTTGAGTCTTCGTTGCTGCACGCGGGCTTTCTCTAGTTGCGGCGAGCGGGGACTACCAGTGCGCGGGCTTCTCATTGCAGTGGCTTCTCTTGTTGCGGAGCACGGGCTCTAGGCGCGCGGGCTTCAGTAGTTGTGGCTTAGGTGCTCCGCGGGCTTAGTTGCTCCGCGGCTTGTGGGATCTTCGCGGAACAGGGCTCGAACCGGTGTCCCCTGCATTGGCAGGCGAATTCTTAACCACTGCGCCACCAGGGAAGCCGAGGCTGTAAGAATTGAATGCGTTAATATATGGATCGGAAGCATTTAGCAAATATTACCTACTGATTTTATGGTGTTACATTATTGGTTCTCCCCCACTAGAATGCCAGCTCCCTGAGGGCAGGGCTCTGTATTGTCAGCACGGTATCTTTAGCATTAGAACAACCTGGCGCAAATTAGATGCTCAATAAATAGGTATCTTTAGCATTATAACAACCTGGCGCCAATTAGGTGCTCAATAAATATTTGTTGAGTGACTGACTCAATGAGTCAAGTCCTAGAAACATAAATTGGCCAAAGCTGGGCGCACAGGATTCTAGCATCATCGAATTTGGTTCAAGGCGAGCTTTGCCAAACCCTGGCAGTACACCGGTCGCTGCACTAAAGGATACTTCCAGAAGAGGGCGCTGTTGGTCCGTAGACCAGGCACCAGATTCCCGCGCGGCTCTCTACTCCCCTGTTCTCCGAGCTTCCATGCAGATGCTCCCTCCTGCCGGAGGCTCTCTCAGACCACCCCGAGGCTGGAGGAAACGCCTTTCCTGGACTCCTGCAACCTCCTGGGCTCCCATGTTCCAGCCATGCCCATCCTGGGTCATCACTTCTCTGTCTCCCATGCAGGACTGTAAGACCCAGGAGGGAAGACAGAGCCAAGGCAGTCTCAGTCCCTGCTGTGTGCCCAGTGCTACCCAGCACAGCCCGAACACAGAGAAGGCACTCGGGACAATGGTTGTTGACTGACTGATGGAAAATAAGACTCAAACTCACGCTCTAACTTCTCCAGGTATTTCTAGGGAACAGGGTAGAAGGCGGCAGCTGAGTCCTTGTCCCCCATTGTTCTGGCCTCAGGACACGCACGGGACATTGGTTCTGGAACTGCCACAAGCTTACTACGAAGCAGTGCAGGGACTGGAGCCAGATGACCTAGGTGCAAATCCCTGCTCTGTCATTTGTTGGCTGTGTGACCCCTGAGCCAGGAACTAACCTCTCTGGTCCTCACGTTCCTGATCTGTAGAAATGGACTCACATGTGTAACCTACTTTGTGAGGCTGATGTGGGGATTAATGAGTAATCCCTGTAAAAGGCTTAGAATAGAGTGGCACATGGTGAACACTGTGTGTGTATGTGGGGTGGGGGGTGGGAGGGAATTGGAGCCAGGTAGATCTGCATTCAAATCCTCGTCTTGACATTTCCTTTCCATGTCACCTGGGGCAAGCCATGATTTTCTGAGCACCTATTTCCTCATCTATAAAACAGGGATGGGGACTTCTCTCGTGGCACAGTGGTTAAGAATCCGCCTGCCAATGCAGGGGACTATGGGTTCGAGCCCTGGTCTGGGAAGATCCCACGAGCCACAGAGCAACTAAACCCGTGTGCCACAACTACTGAGCCTGCGCTCTAGAGTCCACGAGCCACAACTACTGAGCCCACATGCCACAACTACTGAGGCCCCCGCGCCTAGAACCCGTGCTCCGCAACAAGAGAAGCCACCGCGATAAGCCCGGGCAGCGCAATGAAGTTAGCCCCCGCCCGCTGCAACTAGAGAAAACCCACGTGCATCAACGAAGACCCAAGGCAGCCAATAAATAAATAAATTAATTTAAAAAAACCAGGGATGATTGCACTCATCACATAGCATTTGGGCTGGCCCTGTGCCAAGCACTTTTGCACAGCGTCAGCTGGGGCTGGCATTCCTGAGTTCTTACCCAAGACAGGCCCTATGTCAGGTCTTGCCTTGTAGATTAATTCTGTTCACCTTCACACCAACCTGCTATGATTGTCCTCATTCCACAGGTGAAGAAGATGAGGCACAGAGAGGTTAAGTGACTTGTCCAAGATCACACAGCCAAGGAGTAGCAGAGCCCCTGAATCCATACAGCCACCCTCTGAGGTAGGCACTCTTACTTGCCATATCTAAAAAGGAGGAGACTGGGCCAGGCTGCACTTCAGAGGACGTGGGGCTAGCCGGTAGAGTCGGTGGGGTCTCTGGACTGGCTCTGCCATGTCAAAGGTTTTCTTTAAGATCACTCTGACGTCAGACTCTCAGCTGCCCCACAAAGTACTCTGTGTTACCAAAAGTACACCTTTCACAGCAGTCTTAAAGTTCGCAACAGAAGAATTTAAAGTTCCTGCAACATCCAATAACTGCAATTATTACCCATAATGGAATAGGCATAAATCCTGCACAGACTGCTGGAAATGTTTTTCCAAAGCATGGTTCAGAACTGCAAATTAGGGACTTCCCTGGCAGGCCAGTGGTTATGACTCTGCGCTTCCATTGCAGGGGGCACGGGTTCGATCTCTGGTCGGGGAAATAATATCTTGCAAGCTGTGTGGCCAAAAAAAAAAGAACTTCAAATTGTTCCTAGAGATCATGTTGGAAGTTGTTAATATCTGCTACTTGGAAGATAAGATTTCCTTTCAGAATGAATATTGGTATTGTTGTTGTAAAATTGAAATCAGGCATTTAAAATCCTATGAAAACACCAATAGTTGAGGAAATAATGAAGGGGACTCTGTCCCTTCCTGTTATTCACACGCTTCATGTGAAGAGGGAAGGCTTCCGCATTGAGGGCATCACTACCACAGAGGATCGTAGTCTTTCACTACTACCTTCCAACACACACAGGTAGTTCCCGTGGGGTAAATGGATTTACCCAACTGTGTTTGAAAACTGGACGATGCTTCAGACGTAGCGAACAAACGTATGGACGCCAAGGGGGGAAAGTGGCAGGGGTGGGGGGGGGTGGGATGAACTGGGAGATTGGGATTGACATCTATACACTAATATGTACAAAATGGATAACTAATAAGAATCTGCTGTATAAAAAAATAAAATAAAATTCAAAAAAAAACAACTGGAGGATGCTTCTGATCATTCTTTCTGAGAACATTTGGGAAATTAAAATGTACTGAATCTTCCTATTTGTCTTTGAGTTAAAAATGTAAGAGGATTACGGATGGTACATGGCAGTTGGCTTGATAGCATCTGACTTGCAGATGTAAAAATAGTTGAATTCTTACTTATGTATCATTTATGATCGAGAATATAAATGTATTGATGAGTTCTTTTTATCATTTAGGTTGTTTTTGAGTTTCAAATTCATGTATTCATATAAAATTTAATTTAACACCAGAGCCCAAAATTGGCTTTTTAAAAGATCCAGCCATTATGTGTAAAATTGATATCCTACACCAAAGTGTTTTAACTATGATCTTGCAGAATCCAACACTTGTAATGGTGAGAATTGAAAATAAAGTAGAAACATCTTTGGCTGAAAAATAAAGAAAGAAAGGGCTTCCCCGGTGGCGCAGTGGTTGAGAGTCCGCCTGCCGGTGCAGGGGACACGGGTTCGTGCCCTGGTCCGGGAGGATCCCACATGCCCTGGAGCGGCTGGGCCCGTGAGCCATGGCCGATGAGCCTGCGGGTCCGGAGCCTGTGCTCCGCAACGGGAGAGGCCACAACAGTGACAGGCCCGTGTACCGCAAAAAAAAAAAAAAAAAAGAAAGAAAGAAAGAGGAGGAAACTGAAGCTCAGAGAGGAGAAATCCCTCACCCAAGACCACAGTCAACAAGGCAGTCAGCATTTGAACTTGATTCTAGCTGGGGGAGGGCAGCTCTAGTTCAGTCAAAGCATAACCAATTCCCTGGTCGCCTTCTCTGTTGGCCTCAATTTTTTTAGCATTTCCACCTTTTTCCTCCACTTGCAAGAACGCTGTGGAAATTATTCCTAATGGTCCATGAAAAGATCAAGGACCAACCAAACTCAGATGTCTTCAGTTGCCATGTTCTAATTTATTGGCAATAGGGTGAGTAATGCTTCCCTGAATATTTCCTGGTTAGGTTGCTTTACCAGATGAAAAATGGCCAAGACAGTTATTAATTAAATAAAAATGCAGCAACCAAATGTGAAGATCTCAAACTGTTTCATTTTGAAGTATCCATTGAGAAACACTGGGTGGGGACTTCCCTGGTGGCGCAGTGGTTAAGAATCTGCCTGCCAGTGCAGGGGGCACGGGTTCGAGCCCCAGTCGGGGAAGATTCCACATGACCCGCAGCAACCAAGCCAGCGTGCCTAGAGTCTGTGCTCTGCAACAAGAGAATCCACTGCCCTGAGAAGGCCTGCAGGCAGCAACGAAGACCCAACACAGGCTAAAATAAATTTATTTAAAAAAAAAAAGACAAAGCACAGCTAGTTAAAAAAATAAAAAGAGCTTATGTCAAAAAAAAAAGAAACACTGGGTGGGATGGAGTGGGAGTTTGGGATTAGCAGATGCAAACTATTATATATAGGATGGATAAACAACAAGGTCTTACTGTATAGCACAGGGATATATTCAATATCCTATGATAAACCATAATGGAAAAGAATATGAAAAAGAATGTATACCTAGATATATATATATAACTGAATCACTGTGCTGTATAGCGGAAATTAACATGACATTGTAAATCAACTATACTTCAATAGAATAAATTAGAAAACAAAACAAAAGAGACACTGGGTAGAAATTTGTCATACCTTTTAGCTTATAAATGTATTTTCAACATCCATCCATTTACAACTGACTCCTGGTTTCATTTTCTATCAAACGATTCTTTGAACTTGTCTTCCTTCTAAAATCAAAATCATCCCAAATAAACTCATATTAACTAGTGACAAAAAAAAAAAAAAGAAGGCACTCAACAAAATCCCCATCTAATCACTTAAGGCCTCAGTTTGCCATGTCAGGAAAATGGGTAGATGCAATGGGGGCTTTTCTATTTTCATCTCTTGGCCATAGTTTTTAAAAAGCCTCCCCCCTTTTAAATTTTTATTTATTTATTTATTTTTACTCTCTTAACTTTCATATAACATACAGCAGTGTGAATTATATTTACTCCCTTTTTTAATTTAAGAAGTAAAGTGCTGTCAGAAAGGATGTTCACAGAGAACAAAAGACTACAGAGTGAAAAGTAGGTCTTTGTCACTCCGTGATCCCCACTCTTCCCAGAAGCCAACATGATTACCAGTTTCTAATTCCTTCCTGAGATATTCCAGGGATATGAATTGTATGTGGATGTCTGAGAATGATGACCATTTAAGAAAAACACAAATGAGAAAAACCTTACCCATGGAGGTAGACTGAACAATGGCCTTGGCTTTGAGTGGGGTCGTGTGACTTACTTTAGTCAATAGCAGAGTGGCACAAGTACCAGTCATGCCAGTTCTGAGCTTCGACCTAAGGGGCCTTGAACGTTGCCTTTTGCGCCCAGGCACAGGCATGAGAAAAGCTTCCCCTGCATGGCTGCTCCCGCTTTGGCCCACACACCACAACGTCTCTGTAGTGTTAAAAGATGAACTGAGGTGTATTAAAATTGTATTGAGTTTGAGCAAAAATCGATTCAAATCAGACAGCATCCAATCTAGCAGACAGAAAGGAGCTTCGAGGAACTAAACAAAATGAAAGACTTTTATAGGTGGAAGGGAGCAGAAACAGGAAAGTTGTACCCGGAAAAAAAAAAGCAGGCTGGTTATTGCAAGGTCACTTTCCTTTAGGGACGGCAGGGGTCTATCAGGCACATTACCTAACTAGTGCTGATCTGAGTGGGTGGTTTAAGATTCCATCTCCAGGAGAGCCGACACTGTCATTAAGTCTTGACTTGGTGACACGGGGCTTAGCATTTTGAGCCCGTTGTCTTGTTTTTAACATAAGAGTATGGAGCAAAGCTTCCCAGTTGTGCCCAGCCCGAATCAGCCAACTGTCAGTCAACCCCACATCCATTTCAAAGTTCCTGCATTTTGGGGTGGTGTGTTGCACAGCATTTTTGTGGCAACGGGTATATATATATCTTTTTCTTCCCCCCCCCCTCCGCCACTTAGCAATATACCTTGGTGCTATGATCTAAATGTTTGTGTTTTCCCAAAATTCATATGTTGAAATCCTAACCTTCCAAGGTGATAGCATTAATAGCTGGGGCCTTTGGTATTAGTAGGAGGAGAAGCCCTCGTGAATGGGATTGGTGCTCTTATAAGAGAGATCCCACAAAGCTCTCTTGTACCTTCTGCCACCGGAGGATACCAGAAGTCTGCGATCCCTTGCCCTTTTCCAGTCTCAGCATCCATCCGCTGTAAAATGAGGCTTTAGGATGAACAGGTGGAATCAGGAAGGGAATGACTACTCCCTCCAGTCTGGTTCTGCTACTTCCCAGCTGTGTGATTTTGGGAAAGTGACTCAACTTCTCTGGGCTTCACTTTCTTGACTTGTAAAATTTGCATATCTACCTCATAGGACTGCTGGAGAATTAAATTGGTTAATACACATACGTGATTGAATCCTGAAACCAGACTGCTAGGGTGGTGAAGGGGGCAAGGAGATGTGGGTACAAATTGTCAGGGCCTAAAGACCCAGAAAGAGACTCTGGGCTGACAATATTGTCTGACCTTGCTTGAGAGGCCTGAAAATTATCTTTACCAAAGCCTGAACCCACTCTCAGCAGCCCTGTGCCAGTTTGATTCCCAGCTCTGCCCCTTCCCAGCTGTGTGACCTTGAGCAAGTCACTTAACCTCTCTGAGCCTTATTGTTGGGAATGTTAAATGAGCTAATATATGTAAAGCAGTTAGCCTAGTACTTGACATATAGGAGTGCTCCATGAGAGTTAACTGTTAGGGTGGAGACTGTGGAGTGGCCACTCAATATTCATGCTAACTTCCTTCTAGCACATCCAGTTTTTCAGAGGAAGCATGATTCTGGGGGCAAGAGGTGTTGCCTCTTCTCTCCAACCTCACCCAGCCTAGAGCCTGCTCCTTCAGCCCTTCCAACAATTTTGTGAGCACCTAATATCTGGTAGGAAAGCCCTTTCTGCTTAAGCTGGGTGAAGGGGTTTCCAAATGACTGATAAAGCTACTATTATTTACTTAGTCAACAAATACTCATTTATCCTGAGGGCACTGGGGAGCCATGGCAGGTTCTGAGCAGGAGAGGTCAGCAAGTAGGGAGTAGGTGGGACAGGGCAACACTGGGGCAGGAGCCCAGCGAGGAGGCTAGGGCAGGAGTGAATGTGGAGGTCTTGAGCTAGGGTAGGAGGGATGGACAGGCCTTGGAGACTGAAGGGCTCAGGGGCTGGGAGTGGGAGGAAGATATATGATGGAGATTATAGTGCTCCCCAAGGCCAACTGTTTCTGTGAGACTCAAAGAAGATAAAGGAGGTAGAGCTTATGATACAAAGTCTGCTGGAGTGTTTGATTGGCTCAGCCCTGGTCACATGACTGGACCATTGCTGCAAAGGATTATGGGAAACTGAGTTTCTGACATTTTTGGCTTCTCCAAGGGAGGTGGTCAGAGGGTGGGGGGCTCCCCAGACACAGAAAGGGCTTCGGATGCTGTGTGGCCAAAAGGAATGTCAAATGTCCACACAAGGGGTTATTAGGGGTCCAGGGGGCTGAGCTGTGTGTGATGTGGCTGGATCCTGTCTCTCCCTTGCTCATAGCCCTCAGGGACTCCTATCCCACTCACAGTGGGATGGAAACTCCTCCACGGCCCCTAGGACCCTATAGGTCTGCTCCTGGCTTCTCTCCAACATCATCTTCTCCCTCCCACTCTCCCCTCTGCCCCATCTGCTCCAGCCCTCCAGCCATCTCCCTGTCTCTCAGATATGCCAAGCCACTCCCACCTCAGGGCCTTTGCACCTGCTGTCCCTCTTCCAGATCTCCACATGGCTGGCTCCCTCCAGTCTCTGCTCGCATGTCACCTCCCCAGAGAGGTCTGACCTGATCTCCTCTGCTGTGCCATCACTCTCATCCCTTACCCTCTGTCACTTTCCTTCAAAGACCCATTGTCCCTGACATTAGAGCATATATTGACTTGTTTACTCTCACTGAAATGTCACCTCCGCGAGGGCAGGGGTTTTGCTTATTTTCTGCTGTGTTCCCATTAAGTGCTTAATAAATAATTGTTGAAATGATAAATGCATAATTCTAGACCAGTTCCTTTTAGTTCTCTGGGCCTCAGTTTCCCTAACTGTGAAGGAGAACTTTGTCACTCTGACCTTACTGGGAAGGGGACGTTGGTGGAGAGATCAGGGGCTAGGCCCCAAGGAAAAGTTTTCTAGGCAGCTCCCCATCCCAATAGTAACCTAGGGAGAGGTAGAGAGGGTCCCCTTTCCCTAGATCAGCGCCCCTATGCCTGGGAAGAAGTGGGGAAGACCAGGGAGGAGGGAGGAACCTCAGAGGGAAAGGAACGTTCTCTTCTTTGTTTCAATCCGGGCGCTCCCTGAACCTCCTCCTCCCTGGACTTGACCCCGCTTGCCCAAGTCTTGGCGCCTTCCAGGCGGAGGAAGCAGTTTCCTCTGTGCCGTCCCATTTCCGCAGAATCTCATCCTCGGCCCTTGAGGTCCCCCGTCACGGTCGAGGTGCTGAGAGCCCGGATCCGAGCGAGTCCTGCGCTCTGACCTGAGCCGCCACCCAGCCCCCTTCCCCTGCGGGTGGGGCTGGTCTCCCGGGCTCGCGGCTGCCCTTGTAAGGAGGCGAGGCCTGGGGACACCCGAGACGCCTGGTTATAATTAGCCCGGACACGTGGTGACCCCACCGCCTCACACCTGCCCCCGCGCCCCCCCATCCCCAGCACCTCGGGTCCCCCAGAGAACACAGCGAGCTAGCTCTAAAAATAACCTCCCTTCCCGGCAGGCCACGTCCCTCCCTGTCCCCTCCACAGCGGAAATCTCCCAGTGTCACCAGGCGGGTGGCCTGGAGTGGGAAAGGTGACCACCGCCTCCAACCTGGCTTTGAGTTAGAACCGCCCCAACTCAGCCCAGCCTCAGTTTCCCTCCCACCCGCTCCCAAGGAGGAAAGTCCATCCAAGCACAGGTTTCAGGTCACCCCTGTTCCCACCGTGGCTTTGGTCAGATACTCCCTGGAGCTGGGTGACAGCAGGCAAATCACACAGCCTCTCTGGATCTCTGTTTCCTCTGCTGGAAAACCAGATACCTGACCTTCAGGGGCCATTGCAAGGTTTCCCCAGGGCTAGGGACCTGCTCAGGACCTGCTGTTTGCTGGGGTCAAGGCCGCTGGGGGCTGAGGAGAGGCTGGTGGCCCAGCGGAGGGCCAGGGGAGGGTGGCTTCTACGTTCCTGGGACATTCCCTGACACTATCCCGTGGCCCCGGCGGGGGGCCAGCTGTCCCCGCCAGCCCGACTCAGCACTTGGTCGGGGGACCAGCTTGGTGGTGACGGGGGTTGGGGGGGGTCTGGGCCCAGACCCTGGGGCGGCCCATACAAGGCCATGGGGATGGGCGCAAGGCATGCCTGGGTTCCGGGTGGGCACGATGCCTGGGCGGTGAGGTGAGAGGCTCAGCTGCCTTCCAGCCCTGTCCCGGGGGGCAGCCCCTCCCAGCCAATAGCACAGCCCGGGCTCCCCCCTATATAAGGCCAGGGCTGTGGGCCTTTCCTTCGGGTCAGTGTTGCCTCCAGGACACAGACAGCCCCTGTCAGCACATCCCAGCCAGGTACTGCCTGGGGTGGGATTTGGGGTGGGGTCCAGAGTGGGGTCCTCCTCTGGAATCAGAGTCCAAGCTGGCTCTGGAAGGGGTCTTACGTGTCCTCCCCCATGTCCTCCTGCACACAGGCGGGTCAGTGTGTGGCAAGGTGGACCTTGTGTCAGAGAGTCCCCTCCACCTGTGAGCCCCTGACTCCCGGTGTAACTTGTGATCTCTGTGGCACAGGGTCCTGGGGAGGGTTTCCAGAATGGGAAGGAGTCTTGACAGCTGCCAGCTGTCACCTCCTGCAAGGGGCTTGGGCCAGGCCTTGTTCATGATGGTTTTTCACCAGAACTGGGTACCATAAACTGTGGGAGGTGTCTGTGTGTCACCTGTCAGGGTCTCTGCGACGGCAGGGACTGTGGGGTCTTTGCGTTGGTGACCTCGTGGGTCCCTATGGCGTTCCACACAGTGTGACCTTGTGTCTAACTTTCCGTGGCTCCTGCATGAGTACCTGTATCCTGGGTGTGTCCCTGAGCTTGGATGTGTGCGAGTATGGGTCCGTGTACGGTGTGATCTGGGGGGTCCGTGGTGACGTGTGTGTGCGGGGCTCTGGGGCTATGACTGCTGGTGTCTCTTGGGCTCACCAGCCTTGCTTCTGTGCCTTCTCCTGGCCTGTCCCTAGCAGGGTTGGGGGTGGGGACATGCTCTGAAGGGGGCTTTCTGGGTGGAAAGCCCTTGAGCCCCCAGCCTGAATGCATATCCTCCTGGCCACCCTGGCCCACCTGTCTCTGGCCTGCTGACTTGGTGCAAGCCGAGACCCTGGAATGCGGGGGGTGGCGGTGGGGAAGGAGGAGTTTGCCAAACTCTAAAAATAAATCCCCAGCCCTGGACATCAAGTCCAAAGGCTTTCGTGGGTTTCCATCCCCCTTGGCCTGATGCCTCGGCCTTCCCCTCACCCTGGTCCCCGTCTCCTTCCCACCATCCTACCCGCTTCCCATTCCTGGGGCTGGGAATGAGTATCCCATCCCTACCACCACCACCAAGGGGTCCCTCCTCCTGGGTCTTGTGGATAACAGTAATAATAGCAATGATAGCAGCCACCCCTCTAGGTATCAGGCCCCAACTCCACGCTGGGGCCTGTGCTCAACCAGCCACACGCTTGAGCTCAAAGAATCCTCCCGGCACCCCGATGGGGAGCGTTCGGTTCAAAGAGGACAGAGGCTCAGAGAGGCTGAGTAACTGGCCTGGGGTCACACAGCCCGGAAATGGCATAGACGGGATTTGAACCCGGTTCTGTCAAACTCAGAGGCTGAGCTGTTCTTCTACTGTGCCCTGCAGGAGAGGTGTCAGCAAACAGAGGTGGGGGCAGGCACCCAGCCATCACTCCCACCCTGCCCCTCATCCCTCGACTGAGCACCCAAGAAGTTTTATGGAGAGAATGTCCCTTTTCTGCTCACACACTCATTGCCAGCAACACCCTCCATCTTCTCACCAGCTCCTCACAGTTTAAAATAACAACAACAACAATAATAATAGCTGAGCAAAAAAGTGATTATTGTGTTCCAGGCACTATTCCAAGTGCTTTACATAAGTAACTCACTTCATCCTTCCAACACCTCCGTGAGGTGAATGCTATTATACCCGCATTTTACAGGTGAGTACTTTCAGGCACAGAGAGGTTAAGCAACTCACCCAAGGTCACACAGCTTGTTGTAAGTGGCAGAGCTGGCATTCAAAGCCAGGCTGTCTGAGTCTAGAACCTACACTCTTACCCATGCCATGATGACTACTCTGGCTTGAGGGGTTCCCCCCTCCATTTTCCAGCTGGAGAAACTGAGTCTCTAGCAAGGTTACTAGTCTAAGGTCACCTGCCAGGATGCGGTGGAGCTAAGATCCTAACACAAAACTCTTGATACATCCTGTCGAGATGCAGGGGCTCAGAGAGGGGATCCCTCTGGCTCCAAGTCACACAGCACAGGAGTCAGGACTGACCCTCAGGCCTGCCTGACCCCAGAGCCCGGCTCTGTTCTTTGGCTGGTCTCTACTGGATGTGAGCTAACCTTCCCCTCCGGCCCAGCCCACCAGGTCCCCCACGCCGCCACCATGCCGTTCAGTAACACCCACAACAAACACAAGCTGAACTTCAAGTCTGAGGAGGAATACCCAGACCTCAGCAAACATAACAACCACATGGCCAAGGTACTGAACCCCGAGCTCTACAAGAAGCTGCGGGACAAGGAGACGCCCTCTGGCTTCACTCTGGACGACGTCATCCAGACAGGTGTGGACAACCCAGGTAAGCCTCCTCGGTGGAGCATCACAGGGACCAGAAGGCTGGGGGCTGCCCTGGAGGCTGCCTGCCAGGCCTCGATCCCACCTCCCTGGGTCTCAGTTTTCCCATCTGTAAAATGGGACCATACCCATGGGGCTGCTGTGAGAAACAGAGGAGTTGAGATGGGTGAGGTGCTTGGGACAGGGTCCGGCACGCGGTAGACCACTCATTAAATGTGCAGGAGTATAGCGTGAGACACCCCTGAGGAAGCTAATCACCTCCCAGGCCTCAGTTTCCTCACCTGCAAAATGGGCACCCACGTTGGGAAAACATAGGCATCGGTACACGTGGAGCGGCGCCTGGCACAACGTCAGCACTCAGACTCTGACAGGGGGTATCATAAGCCCTGCGCTTCCTTCTCCAAGGACACCCCTCCAGGGCGAGTGGAACTGGGCAGGAGCCCGGCTTCTAGCCTTAGCCCCCAACTCATGGTGTGATTGAGGGGAGAGGTCCTTTCTCTCCAGGCCTCTGTTTCCCCACTTGGGAAATAAGAGGGTCTTTCAAGTCTCTTATTATCTGTGGGGGCTGATAGTCTAAGGTTCTGAAACTTTTTAGGGGAAGATTCCATGATTTGGGGACTCTGACATGGTAATAGTTTTAGTAACTGGCCCCCCAGACTCCTTCTCCTCTGTTCTGCCCGCAGCCTTCCTCCCACCCCCCCAGATGCCACCTTGACCTTTCCCAGCCTTCCCTCCCCATTCCTACCAACCCTCAGCTTTCTCAGTTCTGACCCAGAGGTGTCGAGTGAACTCCCTTGCACGCGCACGCACATACACACAGTCTACACTGGACCCGGGAGCCCAGGCCTTCCTTGCTGGGGATGAGCGCCTCTGACCTCCCCCCCGACCCCCCCCCAGGTCACCCCTTCATCATGACCGTGGGCTGTGTGGCTGGTGACGAGGAGTCCTACATGGTTTTCAAGGACCTCTTTGACCCCATCATCCAGGACCGGCACGGGGGCTACAAACCCACCGACAAGCACAAGACCGACCTCAACCACGAGAACCTCAAGGTCGGCTGCCCCCAGGGGAGGGGAGGGGCGGGAGAGAGAGGGTAGAGGGATGAGAAGGGAGGAGGTGGGGGAGACACCCAGAGAGACAGGGAGACGAACAGAGATGGAGAGAAACACAGAGGGAGATGGGAAGAGAGAGGGACAGAGAGACACGAAGTCAGGCAAGGAGATGGGGCTGAGGGCAGTGGGGGTGGGGAGAGGGGGAGAGACAGAGAGAGAGAGAGACAGAGAGAGAGAGAGACAGAGAGAGAGAGAGAGAGAGAGAGAGAGGGAGGGAGGGAGAGAGAGGGAGGGAGGGAGGCAGGTACAAAACAGACATGTAGAAGAGGGAGAAACAGAGACAGAGATGGAGAGAGAAAAATGGGGAGAGAGAGAGAAGGGGTGGTGGCGGGGAGGGAGGCCAGTGGGGAGGGAGAAGCCAAAGCAGCAGCAGAGAGCCTGAGAGAGCTGGGAGGGCCTGGCGGGGGACTTGACCTCGCTGGGGAGGGGGGCAGGGCTCACAGGATGGCCCGCCCCGCCCTGACCCCCCATCCATTCTCTAGGGTGGAGACGACCTGGACCCCAACTACGTGATCAGCAGCCGCGTCCGCACGGGCCGCAGCATCAAGGGCTTCTCGCTGCCCCCCCCACTGCTCCCGCGGGGAGCGCCGGGCCGTGGAGAAACTCGCCGTGGAAGGTGAGCGCTCCCACCCCGCACACTGCCGGGGTCCCCCAGCTGTGGCTCTGCTCCTCCGTGGGCAGGTCTCTGGACTCCCCTGGGCCCCCATTTTCCAAAACACTGAAAGAACTTGGGAAGTCATGAGTACTTGGTGACTGACAGCTGGAAGCATTACCCCTGGTGGAAGCCTGGGGGTGCTGTCAAGACTCGACACCCAATTGCGCCAGGGTCCTGACCTTCGTCCATCTATTCATCCATCCACTCATCCATTAAGCAAACACATACGGTTGTTCTGGCTCTGTGTGGGGAGCTGGGGCTCCCGTGATGAATAAGATGGACAAGGTCACTGCTCTCACAGAGCTGTCAGCCTGGTGGGGAGATAAGAGGAAACACAGAAACCAACAAAAGAACAAGATAATTCCCAAATGCCATGAAGCCAAGAAACAAAGGTTGTGGCCCAGAATGACTGGCGGGAACTACGTTAGAAAGGAGTTGAGACCTGACTGCCAAGAAGAAGCCAACCTTGGGAAGAATCCCAGGCAGGTAGAACAGCAAGTGCAAAGGCCCTGGGGTGGGAAGGTGTGCTGGAGGAACAGCAAGGAGACCAGTGTGCCTGGAGCCGAGTGGCTGACGGCGGGAGGGGAGGAGATGAGGTCAGAGGGGTGTGGGTGGCCATGTCGTGCAGAGCCTCGTGGGCTGTTGGGAGGACTACGGCTTTGACCCTGTGGGAGAAGGAAAGCATGGGAGGGTGGTGAGTAGAGGAGGGACAGGTTCAGACTAATATGGGTCCCTCTGGCTGCTGTGCAGGGAGCAGACAGTGGGCAAAGGTAGGAGAAAGGCTGAGAGGGGGCAACTGCAGCTGTCTGGGTTGGGGGTGAGGGGTAGCTATGGAATGGGGAGAAAGAGTGGGTATGTTTGGGAGGTAGAACTATTAGGGCTGGCAGGCAGTGTTGTTCCGCTAAATGTTTAACAATTGGCTCTCAAAGAAAAAACAAAAACAAAAAACCCAAACAAAGAAAAAAACAAGCCCTGATTTGCAGCCAGCAACTACCAATTTCTCTGGTGTAAACTCTCCTTCTGTGGCCAATTGTAAGCTAATCACGTGACATCATACAGAGCTGGGCAGTGGGAGGAAACGTGCAGTAGCACATTGTTATGTAGCATTTCCAACATACAGCTACAGTGGATGAGAATAACTTCAAGAACATAGAAAATAGTAAGTGTAGTAAAATCATTAGAAAGTGATAGTTCTGAGTATTTATTCCCTATGTTTTAAATATAATTTATTTAACTGTAAGTTTTTATAATTTATTTTTAACAACATAATATAGTATATAGTATAGGATATAGAATATACTATGTGGTGTATTATACAAATAATGTATAAAATATATAAAAATATGTATATGTATTATATAAATATATTTATTATACACATACTACATATTTACTATGTATTATGAATACATATGAATATGTACAAATACTATAAATACTATACTATAATAATGTTTACTGATGGCTCCCGGATTCCTGAGACTCTGACTCCCTGTCCTGCCAGCCAGCAGGAGCAGGCGCCAGCACACTACTGCTCGCAGGTGAACTGGATGTGAGGCTTGGTGGCGGGAAGGGGAGAATCCATGTCTTTTGTCTTGAGCACTTGGTGTGGGTTTTCCCAGGGCAGACAGGGGAGGAGCACGTTTTGGGGAGGAGTCATGAATTTGGGTTTAGACACAGTGTTTAGGCTCCTTTAGCACCTCCAGAGGGCCAAGGTCCAGGCCCGTTAGGGGTAGCAGTGTGGGCCTGCGCCCCACTTGAGGTGGGGCAGGCTGCTGACCACTCCTTCCTGCGGCCCCTCAGCCCTCAACAGCCTGACGGGAGAGTTCAAGGGGAAATACTATCCTCTGAAGAACATGACAGACAAGGAACAACAGCAGCTCATCGACGACCACTTCCTATTTGACAAGCCCGTGTCCCCGCTGCTGCTGGCTTCAGGCATGGCCCGAGACTGGCCCGATGCCCGTGGCATCTGGTGAGGCGCCCCTGCCCTATGGCCCCCTTCTCCCCTGCCTCCTCCAGCCTTCCCATGACTTTCCACCAAAGTCAAGACCATAACAGTAATTATCCAGAATGATCTTGCCTTCCACCCCTGCCCACCCTGTGGTCTGCATGTCACATTTTGGGAAACTTGAAACTTAGACTTGAACCAGACTCCCTGGATGCAAATCCCAGCGCTGCCACTTACTAGCTGTGTGACCTTTGGCACACGATTTAACATGTCTCTGCCCCAGTTTCCCCATCTATAATATGGAGATCATGACAATTCATAGCTTTGGGGGTTCTCGTGAGGATTAATTGAGTTAATTTATGTAAAGTATTGGAAAAAGTGCCTGGTATATAGTAAGTGCTCATATTGGCCATTAGTATGATTTTTATTACCAGCTGTTGTTGCTAGCTAGCTGGGCTTTCCATGAATCTTTGAATCCCTGATTCTGGTGGTCAAAGATTTTAAAAGGTTTTGAGGACCTAGGTTTCAAAAGATTTGGAGAGTGTAGGTTGTAAGATTTCAAGATTTTAAATATTTTTAGATTCCACTAATTTCCGATTCTGTGATTCAGTGGTTTCAAACATTTCCAGGTCCTAGAGTTTTACAGTTCTAACACTCTTTCTGAGATGCCACAATGTGATGGGAAGATCTATCAATTCTGATTCCTGGCTTCCGTTTTTCAAAGATTCTGAGATTCTAAGAGTCTATAATGTTGTCCAAAGAATTAAGACCCTAAAAGTCACTGATCCCAGGATTCGAGATTCCACAGGTCCAGTGACATTAGAGTCTACAGGTGTTAGCTTCTCAGACTTTGAGGTGCTCCCACCTCTTGCCCTTCAGGCCCGCTGCCCCCTAGCGGTGGGTATGTGTTTGCAAGACGCAGGGGAATGGGGTTCCCGCGGAGCTGATTCCTCAGCCTTTTGCTGCGCCCGACCTAGGCACAATGACAACAAGAGCTTCCTGGTGTGGGTGAACGAGGAGGACCACCTCCGAGTCATCTCCATGGAGAAGGGGGGCAACATGAAGCAGGTTTTCCGCCGCTTCTGCTTGGGGTTGCAGAAGGTGGGTGCCTGCCTCTCGCGTGACTCCACGTGACCACCCCAGCTGCCTTCCGGGGCCCCTCCCCTCGGGACCCGGCTCCTCCCTATACCCAAGCCACGCCCCGCAGCACCCACCCCACTCGCTTTCCAAGGCCCCGCCCTTTGAGAAACCGGCCCCACCCCTATGTTCAAGCCCCGCCCCTAAGAACCCGCCTTCCCGGCGTCCTCAAGCCCAGCCCCCTCAGAATCCTGCCACCACCTGTGCGGTCGGGCCCCTCCCCTCAGAATCTCGTGCCTCCAGGTCTTCCAGACCCGCCCCCTCAGAATCCTACCCCTACTGACATTCTCACACCCTGTCCCTCCGAACCCTGTCCGGGTTGTCGGTGTATTTGGGGGCGCCCGCCGGCGCTGATCCAGGGTCCTCTCCCCCACCTCAGATTGAGGAGATCTTCAAGAAAGCCGGCCACCCCTTCATGTGGAACGAGCACCTGGGCTACGTGCTCACCTGCCCATCTAACCTGGGCACCGGGCTGCGTGGAGGCGTGCATGTGAAACTAGCGCACCTGAGCAAGCATCCCAAATTCGAGGAAATCCTCACTCGTCTGCGCCTGCAGAAGCGGGGCACAGGTGCGGCCTACATCCCCTCCTGCGGCTTCTGGGGCCGGCCCTTTGCGGCGGCTGAAGGGGAGCTGGGGCATCCCCACGAGTTCTGGGGGTCGGCAAGGGCTGCCCTTCTGTAGCTTCAGTTCCTTCCTCTGCAAATAGGCATCAGCACGCCTTATCTCAGATGAGTCAATATACCATCATGGTTATATAATTAATATACACTGTGTATGTCCCTGGCCGCCTAGGGACCTCACTTTCCAATCTGTAAAGGGGAGGATGGTCAGGATTCGACCCCAGGCAGCCCGGCTCCAGAGCTCAACTCTGTTACCCACCGTGCTGGATGGTCGAGGGGTGAGGTACCTAAAGCCGGAGATGTGGGCCCGTGAATAGACAGACGCTTAGGAAACTGCGTGCACTTAACAGTTACACAGTAGGCACTCACTCAGTACATGCGGCAGTCGCCGTTGGCACGGGGGTTGCGTCCCGGGCCCCGCTCCTGCATCTCTGCTCGCTCCTTAGCCCCGGCCTCCTATTCCCGCAGGTGGCGTGGACACGGCCGCCGTGGGCTCAGTGTTCGACGTGTCCAACGCCGATAGGCTGGGCTCGTCGGAGGTAGAACAGGTGCAGCTGGTGGTGGATGGTGTGAAGCTCATGGTGGAGATGGAGAAGAAGCTGGAAAAGGGCCAGTCCATCGACGACATGATCCCCGCCCAGAAGTAGGCGCACTGCCCGCCCGCCGCCGACTGCTGGAGCCCCAGCCAAAGGGAGGACCCGGCCCACCGGAGGCCCGCCCTTCATCCTTTGCCCCGCCCCTTTCTCCCGGAGTCCCGCCTATAAAGGTTTAGTCTACCGGGGGCTCTATCCACCCTCCTTCGAGTTCCAGTTCCAACCAGAGTTCCAACCAATGGGCTCCATTCTCTGGGTTCTGGCCAATGAATAACCTCCCTTATGCTCTCCTCTCTTTTTCCCTGAGCTCCGCCCACCATCAGGCACTCTGGCTAATGGAGAGCACCCGGGCTCACCTGCGGCTCATGCTTTTTCTCCGCTCAAAGCAACAAATAAAAGCAATGGTGGCCTTAGCGTTGTGTGCGATAGTTATGGGGGGGGAGGAAGAAGAGGAGGAGGAAAGACTTTTGTAATTGGCTACTGTGTGACCTCGAAGCGGTTTGCCGTCTCTAGGCATGTCCTAGGGCTAGACATGCTTTATCCCAACTCTAAAATGAGGCAAAGTTAGGGTACAGAGTCTGATCCAAACATTACAAAGCTCTAGGGGGAATCTGAGACCCGGAGAGGTGTGGTCCAGGGTCACATCGCCGAGCTTGGGCCCTTCCCAGCCTCGGCTCCCCATCACTCACGCTCAGATCTCAAACACAGGGTCCTCGCGAGGGAGAAACGGAAGCCAAAGAAAATGTCTGAGACTTGAATCTGGCTCCCCGGCCTCCGGTTTGAGACCCCCATGCATCTCATCACTGTCTACTTCATTATGCGTTTCACTGGCCTTCTGTGCGATCTGACTTCAGCCCTCTACAGCTGCTACCAGTGTTTCCAACTTTCCTTACTTCGCTCGAGAACCTGCCATGTCTCCCCACGTCGCCTAGAACGCTCTCGTATTAAGTGCGATTCTTCAAGGCCAAACAAATTCATACCATTTGCTGAAGGCTCATCCTTCTAGTTCTTTTCCCATGATTCCCCTATATACTCTTTTGTTCCTTACACCCTGCAATTCCCACCTTAATGTCTGCCCAAGCTGTTTCCTCCTCCAGACTGGGGCTTGGGTCAGAGCATACCTGTGAAGTCTTTAAGGATAGGACTTTTGGAGAGCTTGGTCCCAGAAAAGAGCAGGAAGGGGCCTTGGGGTCGCGTGTGGGAGAAGCAGGTAATAGAAGTCAAGAAACATCTGAACATGTATTGGGTGTTGGCCACGTCAATCACTTCTACTTGACCCCATAGGCTGAGGCCTCCATTTGCTAGGGCATAGCACGTGGGCCCCTAAAGAGACGAAGGCCTCAGAAGAAAAGATGAGGCAGAGTTAAGAAGACAGAGCCCCCAGGGACCTGGGGGAGGCACTTTTTCAAACCTTGTCACATAGGTAAAGGGCCCTTAGAGATCAAGAAATCTCTTCATTTTCCAGAAGGGAAACTGAGGGCCGGGGATGTCAGAGTTCCCAGAGAGATTACCAAAACAGAGAGGTTAGAAGAGACCCCAAAGGTCAAGGCGCGCAGGGCCTGTTAGACATGGGGATGCCCTTTACAATACTATCCCCCAATGACGATCCCATCACTCATCCCAGCTCCACCCCTGAGGCCACACGGACCACACACACTCCAGCCAGTAGGGCCTGAGCCAGCCAAACCCAGAGGCCAGGCACTCGGCAACTACCATGCCTGTCCCGCCCATTTCGCCTCATAAGGCTGAGGTCCACCCCTTCTCTCCTCACCTTCTGTCCGGTCCTGACCTCCTCGCTACTCTTCTGACCTGATTCCTTCCCTCCCTTCACAGCACAAACCTTCCCCCGCCTCTCCCTTACAGCCTTGCCATGGCTCCCCAGTACCCTTGGCACAAAGCCCAGGCGCCTCTCCACAACCTTCAAGGCCCTGCCGGCACCTCCAGCCTCATCTCTCACAGTGACTCTATACTCACTCAAGTCATGTGTCATTTGCTGAAGGACCTGTATTTTCTTGCTTCCCAGCCATTGTACCTGCTGTTCCCTCTGCCTAGAATACATGACCCACAGCCTGCCGTGTCTGGTTAGTTAGCTGCTCATCGTTCTCTCCGTCACAGCCAAGCTGTCCCTCCCAGGAACCCCTCCCTGGCTAGGGTAGTTTCCCCCTTTGCACTCCTGCGGACTCTGGACTCCCCCATACCAGCCCCGCTCACTCTGGATCACTGAGGACACGGCTGTCTCCTCCAGTGGGCTGTGAGCTCCATGAGGGCAGGGCTGGGGCTGTTTTGGTCACCACTGTGTCCCCAGCACAGGGCTGGGCACAAAGGAAGCCCTCCGGGATTGAGGTTTCGTGACAGGGTCGGTTCCCCCTACACACACCTCATTTTTCTACCCTCTCAACTGTAGAACAGGGGTAACAATGGAATGGGGAGAAGGAGTGGGTATGTTTGGGAGGGCCTGGCGGGAGAATTGACCTCACTGGGGAGGGGGGCAGGGCTCACAGGATGGTACCTGCCTCCCTCCTACCTACCACAAATGGTACCTGCCTCCCTCCCTCCCTCCCTCTCTCTCTCTCTCTCTCTCTGCCCAGAGTCCTATTCTGGCCTCACTCACGACAGGACTTTGGTTCTGCCCCAGAACCAGAATTTTTCAACACTGGCCACTCTTTAACCTTTACCACCCTTCATTTCTCATTTGACTTTCCTGTCAGCTCCATGAAGAATACAACAGTTGACCCTACTATGCTATAAATGGGCAACTGAGGCAGTTTGACTAAGCCTCTTCCCCGCATGCAACCCTCCATGGCTCCCCAGTGCCCTCGGAGGAAAGCCCAGCCTGCCCCCTTTGGCCCACAAGGCCCCAGGTGAGGCAGCCCCACCCTTCTGCACTGGACAGCCCTCTACCGCTTAAGTCTATCATGCTTCCACTTCCCTTCTCCTACTCCTACTCTTGACTTTCCTTTGGGGAGCCCCTTCTAAGTCCAGTTCTAGGCACAGGCCACTCCAGAGTCACAGCAACTGGTCCAGGGACGATCACATGATCTAAAATCAGCAGACTTTCTGCTGCAGCAACTAAGCTGGAAGGATGAGAGCTTGGAACTGCTGGGGTCGTCACTGCCATCAGGGAGTGCCTAATGGATGAAACTATTAGAATGAATCTCACACTGAAAAAAGCAGAGGTGAGTTTGCCTGCTGCCTAGATCCAGATGTACCCGAAGTCAGGCACCCCTGGCCTATGAGGTGAGCAAACAAATACCTTTTTGCTTAAGTGTAGATGGATTATGAGTCCTAATACAGCATTTCTCTTGCTCATTCTCCACCCACCCCCAACATAGCAGCCACCTGAAATTACCCACAGTTCTTTGAGCTATACCATGCACTGCCACTTCCAGGCTTGTGCCCAGGGCACACGCAATACCTGGTCAACTCCTACTCATCCTTCAAAGCCCAACTCCGGCACCAGTTCCTCTGGAGTGCCTTCCCCCAACCCCCTCACTTTCTCTTCTGTGACCCCCAAAGCAATGGTTTCTCTAGTGTCTATCAGAACACCCCTCCCGCCCCGACAGACAGGGGCTCCCTGGGTCTCGTGTCCACACTGGGCCTGGCATGGAGTAGGCACCGGTCAATGACTGTTTATTGAATAAATGTACTGCTGGAGTAAGAAGTGGCTTAGAGTCCAGTATACCATGTGGGTGGGTATGTGAATGGATGAACGGGGGTCCGGTATAGGAACTGGGGCCTCGTGGATGAGGCCGAGTCCTGTCCTGCCCTCTTCCACCATCATCCTTGACCCTCACACCCCCACTACTCCCATTCTGCAGACGAGAAAACCCGAGGCTCAGAAAGGAGAAACCACTGACCCAGTCACACACCTCCTCTTCATCTCACTTGCAGGTGAGGGCAGGGAAGGAAGACCCCAGGGTCAGCGTGGGGGAGGGGGGACTTCCTAAGTTTATTGGGCAACAGGCTGCAGGTGAGGGGCTGACAGGAGGAGGGTGGGGCTGTAATAACTTAAAAACCGGAGGTGAGAGCGGCAGCTCCTCGGGAGGCCTCTGCAGAGGGGAGGGGGCGGGGTATTTACAAGGATTTGTACAAAGTGCCCCGCGCCAGCCTGGGGCAGGAAAGGGGGGTTCGAGCAGGAGGGGATGGGGGGGGGAAGGAATCTGCCTCTCTGACCCCCACTCCCAACCCCACCCACCCCAGTTCTCCGTCCAGTCTTTAGGCTCAGCAACTCTTCTTGCCCCTGCCCAAGGCCTAATTCTTGAGCTGTTGGGGGGAATGGAAGTTTCCTGTTTCCCTTTCTGCCCCCCCTGCCCCCAAAGTTTCCTCAGGTACCCGCGGCAGGGTGAGGGGGGACAGGACGAGCTGGAGGCTCCAGGAAGGCGCCAGCTTCCCCTGTGAAGCCCCTTTGCTCTTCTCTCCTGCCCAGCGGCCCCAGAGAACAGCAGAGGGGACAATCTCTGCCCCCAGACCGATTTCAGGGAAACTGAAGTGATGACAAAGGGAGAATCCCCTCCTTGACCCCCTTTCTCTCCTGCCGAAGCGAAGTGGGAGAGGAAAAGAGGAGGGGACCCAGGGCCATGACGGCTCAGAGCTCGAGGTCATTGGAGATGCGGGTGACGAGGGTGCGGAAGGCCAGGGCAGTGCCCGCCACGCGGCGGAAGAGCACTCCTCGCAGGCCCGGCCGGGGCAGCTGGCAGACCTCCACTTCAAAGTGGGACAGGGGCTCGGGCCCGCCCGCACCCCCGTGCAGGCAGGCCAGCAGGAACGGCTGTGGCTGGCGGCAGCGGCAGCGGGCGGCCGCCGTGGCCTGGCGCAGAGCCGCCATCAGGGCCTCGGGCGGGCGCGAGCTGGTCAGCTTCACACTCCAGGGGAATCGGAGCAGCCGGGGGGCGGTTTCCGTTTGATCCCAAGGTAGATGGCAACTGAGGTGGGAAGATATTAGGGGTTAAAGATGGGGGAGAAGAGGAAGGTAACCCACTGTTCCCACTTTGGGACAGACTCCTAGGTATCTCCTCAACACCTCTTTTACCCCAGTGACAGAGTATCAGCTGTACCTATAGCTATCAGCTGGAGACTACATTTCCCAGCCTCCCCTGCAGCCAGGTGTGGGCTTGTCTCCAAATTCCCGGATGTGCGTGGAAGCGATGGGTGCAACTCCACATCACCCTTTTCAAAGGAAACTGCACGCCCTGGACTCTCCCGTCCCACCTCCTGTGAGGCTGCAGCACGAGCTAGCCTGGACCGTGAGGATGACGGGGCTCTAGGGGTGGGGATGTAAGAGCCCTGGGAACACAGTGAATGGCCTCAGGAACAGAGCGGCCCTGCCAGCCTGGCCTGGACACAGGGTTTGTGTGTGAGAGAAGTTTATTCCTGTTTGTATTTTGGGGTCTCTTTGCTATAGCAGCTCAGCTTG